GGTCTTCAGAAGTTTGTTGTAACTACGCCACTATGTCAATATCGGTTTGTTACTCAGTGCATGGTAAAGTCAGGTTATGCCCATTCAATCTGTAGAGGGCAGTATGCAAGCATCGACCATGTATCAGGTTGTGGTATTGAGCTAGTAGTTTTTCTCTCTGTGGGTTGGTATTCAAGGAGGAATAGCACAGAGAAGGGCTGGTGCTGAAACAGAGGGCTTGCGTGACTGCCATCTTGCAGGCCAGTGCTTTTATTCCACAGGGTATGCACAAAGGAGGGTTTCCCTGCGGAAAGTTGAATTGCCCTGCAAGATGACTACCACACGAAGCCTATTATTTGCAGGAAACTGTGCCGCCTTACTAGTGTGCGAGTATGTATCTGCGCGTCCATCGTTAGCACGCCAAGCATATTTATCTCGAAAGGTTGTGCTCTGCCACGCGTCCTTCCCAACAACAGAAAGAGCTGGCAAGAAAACGATAGAAAGAAGAACACAAACAACGTTATCATCATTTTAAATATCTGACAATATTGAATACAACCTTTAAAAGGGTGTTGAAACACGAAGTCTAAGCAACAACGTGTAAGACACTAAGTGTAAACAACAAAAACCTAAAACTAAAACAAAATGTCTATTTGCAATAGAACACAATAACTGGGGCTGTTTCGCATTTCAAATTTTTGAAATAAGGAGATCCTTACCATGTTTGCATAATGCTAGCATTATGTAGTGTTAAAATCATGCAAAAATAATTGATGGCTTTCTATTAAGTGCTCGGTGAATTTCGTACCGATCTGATGTGTTCTTTTATGCGTATCAAAAATCACTCATTCACTTATCCTGGGCCTATCCAAGGTCTTGCAAAAATAATGTCAAACATACCTAGTTTCATTCAGATGATGCGTTGAAAAGAATGTCAAATATTTACATAATAAAAAAATTACAAATCATATTATCATTTTTAGCATTGTTATTACTCATACTTATACAGCGCCTTATTCCCTGAGGCTCTAAGGCGCTTTACAATCAATTAAAATGATAAATATTCAAATAAACACGTAATATCAAGTCAATATTTTGAAAGCCATGAGTTGTATGATACCGTCAGTGGCATGACTGAAAAGTTTATCAAAGACAATTTACCAGTCATCTTCCAATCGTTCTTGAAATGGTCATAAATGCGCTGTTTTTATCATGCAAGGTCTGTAAGATCAAATGAAATTCAGGGAAGACGAGGCAATCCATTGTGTTGCGTCCAAATAACCGCTAATTCAAACCATCCTAACGATATATTCAATGAAAAAAATTATTAAATCGGTAATGTAAATAGCAAAAGACGAATTAATTTTCCAATTCAGCGCCATTCGCAGAGTGAGACGAAAATGGCGATAAAAAGGACGATTAAGATTTTTCTGTGAATGCTGTGAACGTGAAATCAACATTTTGGGGCGAGTGACCCCTCTTTGAAGAAATGCGTCATTAACTCGGAAAACCTCATTCAAGTAGCCTAATGTCTGTCATTACCACGTATATACGCACCTACCCACCTTTTTTTCATGTAAATCACCGCATGCCCAAAGTGATGTGTTATGAAGAAAAATGTAATGCAGTGATGTGAAAACAACTAAAGTAAGTGCCAATAAGCCATTTCCCGCGGGTGGTCTTTAAATATATATTTGCCCTGAAATGCCAGAAGTCAGGGTTATAATCTATTTTATGGTGACGTAAATATTTCAGCTGTCAGTACGGGTACCACAGTGGGGCTCAATGTAAAGATTGACCATGCAAACATGGGAGTAGAGACCACATTTTGTGATCAACTTTGGAACCCCAGGGTAACTCTGGCACAAGCTGCACCCCTTGGTTGTAGTCTTCATACCTTCGCAAAGCGCTATATGACTGATTTAAGATTCTCTAAAATTGATTCTATGAAAGTAATTTTATCACAAAATACATCTGGAAGCTTGGACTGAAGGATTTTGCTGGTGTAAAACTTAGCTACACTCCTTAACCCAAAAAAAAGAGAAAAAAAAAAGAGGATTCCAGGAACCTGCTGAAGTTGCCTCAAACCACGGGGTATTGGCAGAAATCAAGCTCACAATTAAAAGAGGGGGTTGGTACCGTTGCATACACCGTGCGTACAGAGGGGAGGGAAGTCAATCCAGCGCGTAAATGAATCTCATATCATATCATTACACTTTCTCATACAAATAACTAGCGAATCAGCTTTTTGTGATTTGCATTTTAAGTCACTGTAGTCAGCACGCAGTTTGCAGCAGTTTTCTTGTACATATCTTTAGAATCAGCTTTTGCCTGTTCGTCGAAATTCAAACACAATATTCTCCACCGTCCACCCCACCATTTATTCTCCCGTGCCAACGCCCATGATTAGTAAACTGCAACATTACTCATGACCCAAAGACAGGCAGAGTCTTCCGGTATTGTGGAGTATGTAACCTATGCGCACACTGGGGAGGGGGTTGGAACCACTGCGTACGCCATGAGTACAGCGGGGAGGGGGAGTCGGCATTTCTTGTGTACGTAATTTATGGACGGCCCCCAAATATAGGTCATCAAAGGTCTTGTGATATAAAAATGTGAAGCACGAGTTAGTTGAAGCTGCTCAATATAGTTACAGATTCGGAACTTCATTAGAGGAGTGGCATTGCTTTGTAGCCTATTGTATCCCTGCATTACATAAAAAAACAGTTGTTTATATCTTGACTCTATTAGCTCTAATTAAGCTTCATTCACTGAAGGCGTATAGAGTTCATAGTAGATAAATTATATTTAATTTTCCCTTTAATTTTTTTGTCTAAATAGAAACTAAATGAAAAAAAAATATATTTTGCTATTCTCGAACAAATTTGCTCTCCATCTGACTGACCGATTACATTCGACACAATTTCACTACATTTCTCCCGAGAGCTTTTGTCACTGATAACAAAGTCGATTTTCTGAGGTTGACCTGAAAATTTACCAAAAAAATTACCAAACATCCGATTTTTTTGGGGGGGGGGGTGGGAGAAACATTTGACGATGCGCCCAGTAGGCAGACATGGAAAGGCGTTCTCACTATGGTAAAGTCACTGCCGTGGATTTTAATTTGAATCTCCGGCATGAGTGTGAACCTACCTGTAAGGGCGCAGTGGCCATGTCGACAGTAGCACACTAACAGCACAACCAGGATCAGAGGGCTAAGGCTTCCGAGGTGATCTCTTGCCTCTGCCATCTCGCTAAACGCTCTGAATGCTGGTTGCACGGTGCTGCTTGACAACTTTATGAACACAATACGGAAATGCGCAATTAAGGCTTATGAGAGGAATAAGACCCCATGAACAGCGATGCTATCATCGTTAACTATAATTAGCCTTGGATTCGAGATGGAAGTTAAAGAGTTGGATTCCTTAATTGGAACTACAGCCACTGAAAGAACTGATGAATGATTGATTATTTTGGACTTAAACATCTTAAGAGTCGTTCAAGTGAGATGGGGCTTGGTCTCCTGCCGCTGCTATCTCGATGAGGGGCCTTTATGCTGGTTGCGCATTGCTGTTAGAGAACAAATAAGCAATTAAGGCCCATAAGGAGCGTAAGACCCATCAATGGTTTTTTCAGTATTGATGGTATCACTGTTAAATATTTTAGCATTGGTCGACGAGAATAGCTTTAGTGCAATTGCTTTATCGTTGAATATGAGCAGCAATTTTACAATTTGTGGTCCTATGGACTATGATATTCACAGAAAGATCTTACAAGTAGGCTAATTAGTAATTATTTTAGACTCACTCATGTAGGAACAATAATCTTTTATTTATTCATAGTGTGGCGGTGTTGGAGGAAAGGTCTGGCCATCTGCAGATGAAAGCAAGGCTCTGACCGTCAAGACTCGATCAGTCAAGCGCCGTAGCCAGGATTTTTTTCCAGGAATTTCCGGGGGAAAGTTCTTTGCGGCGGAAACCTGGGTAAACCAGAGACAGTGAAAGGGGGACATTGCCAAACTTGTATCTTTTTATTTCTTATAAATGTTTCCTTCGTTCTTTTTTCATTTTTTTTAAATTTTTTTCCTCTAGAGGTGTGTGCAAGTGCCCCGGCCAGCGGCACCTCGGCATAGGCCAAGCCCAAGATTTTCATCATATGAACCCGAAAAATGCACCTTCCTGTCTCCGTTAACTTCAATTTTACTTTTCGTTGCATCATTTCAACGGGTCTTTTGCAGCATTTGGGTTTTTTGTGCTAATGACTACCTAAGGTAGTTTACTTTTGAAAACATCAGGCGAGGAACTAAGACGGCAGAATCCGACCTCCCCCGGCTGTGAGCGGTCTAACAATAAACCCGGATCTTTTGGGGTTAACTAAAAGTGAAAAGATATGGAGGGCAGAGGCGCAAATAAGTGTCGGCGAGGGAATGGGGATTGTAGGGCGATGACTTACCCGGCCAAGGATAGTTAAAAAGCTCGGTGAGACCATTACAAAACCGGGGGGGGGCGATGTCCATAATACAGATGCACATTTGAAATATTTTCATGTCGGTACATTTTGGTTTTTTTTAATTAAAAAGATTTTCACAATTGGCCTTAATTTTTTCTCCCAGGAAAAAGTTTGCTGGGGGGGGGGATCAGTAGCTTCCCGGTCAAAAAGTGAGGTACTTCCCATCCCCCGGGATTTACGCTCATGATAAAGGGTCCTGATAGGGCTAGCGGAATCTTCTAGTTCGAGAAAGTTCAAAAGACAAGTGAAGCCCTTCTAGGCTTCTTCTTTTTCTTTTCTATTTTTAATTTTATCTGACTGCAGTCAATTAGTCGATAAACCCAAAATTTCCGTGGAAAAAGGAATGCATTATCAAAGATGTCATAACGTTACGTTAATTGGCTAGAATCTGGTACCGTCTTCTGTGAAATAGACGGCTGTTTGAAACCAGAAATTGCAGAGACATTAAACAGCTTCTAGAAAAAAATCACGTCAACACGCCAACAGAGGGCGCTGTTGTATTATTACTCCTTAGCGACCACGTAAACGCGGTGTTCGGACTTGTACGCTTCATTCAGTCAAGAAACTCTGATTTTGGTTGATTCTTGGTTCCTGCTTCAATTTATGAACATAGTTGCTAGTGACAGAAATATCTTTGAGTGCTGCAACATCGATAACTAAACATGGCTGTGCCGTTTTCCAACACAAAGCTGCGTGTTCCGAGAGGATTCCAAAATCTGCTGGAGGGTCTCGCCCGGGAAACGCTGCGTAACCAGCCGGAGAACATTTACGCGTTCGCGGCGGCGTACTTCGAGAACCTGCTGAAAATCCGCGAAGGTAAAAACATTTGCAGCTGAATCAAAACAGACATGTTGCTCCGGGTCACGACGCTTTATTTTGTTGTAGCCATGTTTTACAATGAAGATTAGGTCACACCAGCTTACAGTCGACAATGGACGGCAATTCAAATTTCAAAGAACATTTTCAAAGGAAGCCAAAGACCTTTTATGGGCCGTCATGCCGGTATGGTTTATTAAACTTCGAATTGAGTTAGAGTCTATATACCATTACAAGGCAATGATATTTGACCAGTTTATAGTCCCGTATTTTTGGTGTTGTAATGCCATAGTAAGTGCACATGTGTACTATGTAGTGCATGTATTGAGGATAGGCCTAGCCCAGGTGGACTCCCTGACAGTCGTAATGAAATGAAGACAACGTCCAACCTGGGCTAAGGATAGGCCTATAGACTGTAGGCCTAGCCTAGAAAAATAAATCCTCTCAGACTTAGGATATCTGTTACGTGCTTAGGCCCCATCTAAAGAGATTTTTTTTTATTCACGAGATGGAATTCGGATCTCGTGCAGTCTCAGACTTTATTTCCCCTTGGGGAAAAGCCAGTGAGCCTAAAGCCTTGAATTGCCAAAATTGTTTTGGAGACCCCGTTCCTATAATAATAATGAGCATTTACGAAGTGCAAAAATCCACTTGAGAAATAGATGCTCATGACCCTATAAAAGTAAAAGTAAATTATTGCAGTTACACCGTAAAAGGTTTATGCAGAAAAAAAATGTTAAAAGCGAGTGCCGTAAGTACACATAAGATTAATAGAAGGGAGACTTCATTTTATCTTTTGGATTCACCTTGGTAGATGACTGTGACATCATGGTCAATAACTGAAGGGTCGGTGTTTTGAGGGAAATGCACTGTAATGAGGAGAAATTGAGTGTTTTAACACGTGACACATGGTGGATTCAAATATGCATGGCTAATTAATCAGTAAGAAAGTCATATTTCTCACAATTTACAGTTTATAATTTCCAAAAAATACATGTAGGGTCAGCGCAATAAAGAGAGCGTTGCCTGTGGTTTGTAGGGGACTGACCAATTTCACAAGATTAAAATGACAAAAAAAAAGGGGGTCCCCACGTACATTGTATACATGTACAATCCCCATGCAGGATTCAATCTAAAACAAAGATTATTTTGCTCACTTGGTCACAGAGGATAAATTTAATAGTCCCATGCTACGTGTAGCATTAACCAAAGTGCAACTGAACGCTGGCAAGAAAACTCTGAATAGGCCTAAACCGTACATTTCCTTTTAGGCTGTTGGCCTTTGGGTGGTTTATTTACATGTACAGTATGAATCCCAGTTCTGTTTACATGCCTGCCCAGTCGCGGTTGACCAGGAGGAGAAGTTGACAAGCCGTTACAAAGTAACCTGAAGTAACTGAAACTCGTAATTTCCCAATGCCAAACAAGGGCTGGAATAGTGGAGTGAAGTAGTTAAACTAATTAAGTAATTGCACCGCTGATAACTGAGAGTCGAATTCTCCTAGTCAAATACTACAACGCTTACGGTACCCTACAGTACATGTACACATGTAGGTTAATTGCGGAAAGGCCAACATGTAGTCAGAGCATGGAGGAAGGAACTAGCAATGTACACTGTACTTATAAAATATTGCCGTTTGCAATCCATTCCAGAGCAAGGGATCGATCCAGCAGACGTAGGTGCCAGACATGAAGACCGTTACTACAACAACCAGAGCTTCAAAATGGTAAGATGACCACCTCAGACTACAACTTGGAACAGTTGGAGTACAGACAATCAATCTGCCCCCTTGTTGGTCACATTTCACAAACTAACGCACTTGTGCAACACAGTTCCACTGGAATGATCCCAGATTAAGCCTAATCTTGATGAAATCATGTTGATGTGATGGCCCTAGGTTTGGTTTGCTATGTACTGTGGAAGGGTGGATGGGTGGCCATAGTCTTTCCCATACAGTCATATTACGCTTTCAGGATGAACAGATCAATACATGATGTGATCCTGTAATACGGGTAGCAAGTTACCATTATGCGGGAAAAATTATTTCTTTACTTGTTTTTTTCACGGTTATTTTTCAGTCTTTTACGTGTACGTTGTAAAAGTTATTTGTACATTTTAAAAAGTAGTGCCCATATTGAACTATCAGCGTGGAGTTTTCACAAGAGCACATCCAGACGCTTCACCCATTGTGGTGGCTAATGACAGTGGGCCTGATGGACAAGTGTTGATAGCTGTCGATAACTGCCCATGGTGGTGCATCTGTTTGATGTGAGCAGTACGTTGTGAAAGTACTTCCTTCGTTTTGACATGTAAAATGTAACTCCATGCCCTTGATGACATTGCTGAATGGAGCCACAGATTCCACGTTCTGAAGGGCACTCATGTGCTTTATTTCATTCACGCGCTCCTGTTTTTTTTTTGTTCATCTTCATCCAGGGCGCCAAGGCCAACATAGGTGACGTCGGCGACCCGCAGCAGCAGGCTGCAGCTGTCACCATCCAGAGTTCCGTCCGAGGCTACCAGGAGAGGCAGACCGTGGAGGCAGCCAGACAGACAGAGAGAACGCAAGAGGAAGAAGAGACAGCCGCGCTGCGGATACAGACTAGCTTCCGGGGGTATGAGGCCAGAAAGCGTGTCAGTGCCCTGAAGTGCGTAACTAACACTCTTCTTTCGCTTTAATACCAGTGTCGTAGTCGAGACCTCTTTAGGCCACCGCAAGACCCCCGTGAGACCATCACAAGACCTCCAGTCTGAATTCAAGTCACAAGCTATTCCAATGAACAGCAACAAAACCATTCCTTCGTCATTGTTCACCCTGTGACTTGTGACTGGTCTTATGTGTGGTCTTGTGATGGTATTGGCTACAACTTACAAGTTGTAGTCAATGACCGGTCCTTTTTGAGTACCGTGATTACTGGCAGACTTGCTCCGGCCTGGTTAAGAGGGTGCTTGTAAAGTGGTGCGCTCTGGCTTTTCACCCTCGTGTTTTGATGTGAGAATGTTCGGCATTTGGGGTGTTGCACTGTGCTGATTGTGGTGATGGGTGGCTGATCTGAATTTAAAGTAAATGCAAGTTAGAGTTGTAGCTACACGCACGTGGGCGCTGCGCAGTACCAGACGGCAGTGCCCCGCTGTCCAAATCACCAGCCAGCACTTTGGCTGCAAATGAGGCTTTTTGGCCGGCACAAGTGTTGCTGCATCATATGGCAGCTTCAAAGTTCTGACATGTCTCACAAAGCAAAAGGGTTTAACACTGAAACACTTTTTGGTTAAAAAATGTACATGTATGTGTGTACTTGGTCAATCCCTGTACTTGCACTGCTCTTTCCCCATTTGCATACACCAACTGTTAAATTTATCAAGCTCCAACCAACCCTGCCCAAGGCCTGTGACAAGCATTGGGCTGGGCTGGACAGTGTGCAGTGAACCAGAAATAAGCCAGTGTGCAATGAATGCTATCGGATCTCTTGTGTGATGGTTGGGAGCATTTTTTTTTCAACTGCAAACTAATTTGGTCACATTACATTGCATGAGGAAGGACATTTTGTTTTAACGTCAGTTTGGCTTGTTGATGGAGACTGATGTCAAGGAACGGACAGACTGGTCAGGAAATCTTTCAACCACGCTCGCACACACGCCCAGGGCACACTTGACAACTGTACTCTCCAACATGTGCTCAGTGCAGGTTGTGCCAAACATGCATGAACCTGCACATGTGCACGTAGACGTACATGTATGTGCCTGCAGACAGTGAGTTCCCACAATAATAGACATTGTTCAGGGCGGATACCACAGTTTAATAAGCCAGTGCTGCAGTGACTTTATTTCAGAGATGGTGTCACCTAGGCTACATGTAGCACTTTTCTTTCCCTTCTTTATGAGAAAGGTACAATGTATCAGTTCCCTGTCACAGGTGTTTGATCAGTTCAGCTGACAAGAAAAGGTACACTGTAGCTAAAGTACATAATTTATGGTGGAAGTGTAATACAGGCCTCGATCGTCAATTTATTTTTGCATGTGGAGCGCATCCCAACAAGTAGGTTGTATGACCATCAACTTCACGTACGGGTGTGCACGTACAGTATCCGTGCTACCTGCACCCTGGTTAAATTCTTTCCCCGTAAACTTCTGCGTCATCAGGCCACTAGCACTTCGTTTAATACAACTGTACCATTCCAGGCTCAGCTCCTGCAAGCTCTTTCGATTGGCCAACAGAGGGCGCTGTTTATGCCTTCTGATTGTGAGCAATAGCAGCACACATGTACCGTAGTCTATGCACTGGAACCTGATGCTCAGTGCCGTGTGGTCAGCTTTTCTTTCTGATGGTCGAAATGTATGGGTGGGGCAATGGGGAGCAAAGGGGGAGGGGGGAATCATCATCCGGACTCTCGTTCCTTCCTCCCCAACATGCCCAAAAAAATCACCTTATACCGGTATAAAAGAGGGGAAAAGAAGAGAGAGAAAAAAAAAAAAGGAGTGAAAAAGAAGTGGTGAACAGGGAGGAAATTCACAAAATTGCTGTTTTATGTGTTTTGCCTCCCCCCCTGGACAAAAATCCTGGCCACGTCCATGCCAAAATATTTTCACATGTGCCGCGGTACATACATGTACATGTATCTGGATGTACATATAGGATTCTTTGCATGGTGGAAAATCTACCATAACCAACTGTGCCGGTAAATGGTACATTAATTAGGTATTTTTGCCCTTGTTATCACTCCATTAGTTCAAACTTGGTAACTCTTTTGATTGCTCGGAAAGCTACATGTAGACACATGTACACGGACGTGTATACTTCCGTACATGTACTATATGTGCACCTCCGTAGCAATGGTTCTTATATTCTGTAAAACTACCAAACATTATGTGTTCATCTTCATTCATGTAAATGTACATCGTGTACATACATGTATGAATACAGTTACAAGTACATCACAGTGTGGCAGTTCAGTGGACATGTACATGTACAGGAGATCTTTATGAAATTGAGCTAAAGATATTCTAATAATAATTGTGACTTTGTCAACCAAACTTGGGTGGTAGGAAAAGAGGTGTAAATACCCCGTGCCCAAAACGGTGTGGTTCCACTGATCATTGTTTGGAGGGTGGAGGGGAATCATTACAAATGAAGATTTTTTCATGAATATAATTATTTTAAAAGGGAAAGACTTCGGACTTGTTTGAAGTTACGGACAATTAAATGCCAAATGTGCAAAAAATAGGCACTTGGTTACTTGAACCTTGCACCGTATTCATGCACAAATCATTCTCAAAACACACGTGGCAAAAATGAGCTTTGTGCTTCTGTCATACTTTCAGTGTTTTATACCTTCTGTA